CCTTTCTGCCCCTTCCTGCCCCCTCCTGCCCCCTCCTGCCTCCTCCTGCCCCTCCTGCCCCTTCCTGCCAGGAAAGCCCATCCCGGGGGGCCGCGCTCCTCCCGCTGCCGGCGCGGTCGCTGTCCCTTGTCCATCGCTGTCCCTTGTCCATCGCTGTCCCTTGTCCATCGCTGTCCCTGCCCCATCGCTGTCCTTGCCCATCGCTGTCGCTGTCGCTGGAGGGGGCTGCCCCGCCGGGCTCCCCGGTGCTGCGGCTGCTTCAGCGCCACAACCGGCTGAAATGCAGGACCTGGAGGTTTGCAGGAGGATTTCCGATGAAAACCCGGGATTGGGTTCTTAGATTGGATCTTGGGAAGGATTTCTTTCCCGAAAAGGCTGTCAAGCCCTGCCCAGGCTGCCCAGGGCAGTGGTAGAGTCCCCAGCCCTGCAGGAGTTTAAAACTCATGTAGATGGTGCTGAGGGACATGGGTCGTTAATGGTTGGACTGGGTGAGCTGAAAGGTCTTTTCCAAACAAAACCATTCTATGATTCTTCTGCAGAGGGACCTTGGAAGGGCCCCAGGATGCCACATGCTGCAGTGTGGGACCCTGCTCTGGGGGGCTGGGGTGGCATCAGCACTGATGGGACCTGGAGACTTGCACAGCACAACAGGGTGAGGCTGAGGCACAGAAGAAAGCAGCAGCTGTAGCTCCTGGACCAGCCCAATTGTGGGGCATTCAGCCTTCCCCCTGGCTGGAATCAGTGTCACAGGATCACTCTGGTGGGGAAGGACCTTCAAGATCATCGAGTCCAACCACCACCCTAACTCTGCCACATCCACCACTAAACCCTGTCCCCTGGCACCACATCTGTCTGTTTCGATGTCTCCAGGGATGGTGGCTCAAGCACCTCCTTGGACAGCCTGGATCACCAAATCCAACTCCCGCCCCAGAACAGGACAACCCCAAAGTTCACACCATTTCCCTGAAGGTGTTGTCCAAATGTTTCTTGAATACTTTCAGGCTTGGAGCCATTACTGCTTCCCTGGGGAGCCCATTCCAGTGCTCCACCACCCTCTGGGTGAAGAATCTCCTCCTAATGTCCAACCTAAACCTCCCCCTGCACATCTTCCCACCATTCCCTCAGGTCCTATCGTTGGTCACCAGAGAGAAGAGCTCAGCACTGGTACCAGCTGGCATTGTCCACTGGGCACGTTCTGTAGATGCTGACGTTCAAATGTACCCCTGGGGAGCAAACCCCAGGTCTGCAAAAAACCCCCAAAACCTGGCACTAAGTCCAGTGCAGCTCCTTCTGCAGTTTCCAGCTGAGGCACAAAACACCTCAGTTTGATCTCAGCATCAGGACTAGAACGCAGCACTTCAGCATCTGCTGCTGTACCCAGGGACTAACCAAGCTTTGAACTGAGCAAATGGAACATTAAAAATGTATTTCTGGGTGCAGGAGGGAGCAGATAACAGCACAGGGCTTGGTATTAATGGGCTGTTTGTGCAGTTGTGCTCAGGGCTATCATTAACCCCAGGTTTTTCCCCAGGGAAGAACAGACACAGGAGCTGGGGCCACACTTTAGTGCATCAGGTATTTATCCAGCTGCTCTGGGGGACTAGAGTAGCCTCTCATCCCTTCCTTGTTATGAGCAATTTTTGTCCCCTTTCCTTGACCAGCAAAGAAGCTCTTGCAATTTTCTCCAGCTCCAGCATCAGGCCACATGCCTGGGATCATGAGCATAGCTGGTGTTCACCCCATCAGCTCCAAAGCTCCCACTCCACCCCCAGCTCATTTCATTCTTACATACATAAATCATTCCCCACACATTGCCATTAAGTGCTTCTGGAGATGATTATGCATGAGTGGTATGAGCAGGTAAAAGGCTGCTACTTACTGGGGCTTGTCCTGATCAGCTCTGACTTTAATCTGGCTGGATAACTCAGACCTCAGCCTCTGCTCTTGGTCACGGAGTCAGGACAGGGTTTTCCAGCCAGCTGCAAGGAACCTCTCCCTGGTGCAAAGGGCTCCAGCAGGGAATGAGGAAAGCAGCTCATCTTCTCTTGCAAACTTGCTGCCCCAGGGCCTGGTTTCCAGAGGGGAAAGAAATTTAGAGGCACATAAACCTCAAGAAGACTAACAACTCCTGCTGAGGCTGCAGCAGGGATTTATCCCAGAGAGCTCCACAGGCTGCAGCTGAGAATAGAGGCCAGGAGGAAGTTCAGTGCTCAGGTCAAACTCCCAAGTCAAGTTTGAGTCCAGAGTCCTCACACAGCTCCCACGAAATTCTCCTGTTAAATCAGCAGGCAAATAATCCAGGCAGGACAGTTACAGGCTTCTTTTTATTAAAAGACATCTTCAGAAAAGATATTTTAGTACAAAAAAAAAAAGTTTAAAATACACAAACTACAGTTGCCTTTTGTTTTTTTCCCCAGCATCAACATATATAAATTACACCACTTTGTTATTAACACTGCATTTAAATATGGAAACAAATTAAAACAGGAAATTCATCAACAAGATCCACCATCCTACAAATGACTATTTACAATATTTAGCAGCTAGGAGCTCTAGCACAGGAGTCAATATGACTTCAATAGGGCAGGATGCTTGGGAAGCCCCAAGATGGCAGCTTGGTTAAGAACAGTTTTTGGGGACCTGCTTTGCCCACCTCCCTCAGACACCCACCCCAAAGGCAGAGGTGATGCTGTACATCAGGGTGGGCACCCAGGGAGGCTGGGGTGGCTTTTGCAGAGAAACCTGCTGGGCCTTTGGAGTGAGGTCTGGGGCACTGGTGGGACAATGCTACTCATGCTGAAGTACTGGGTGTCTGCTGGGAGAAGGAAGCTTCCCAGATCTAGGTGACAGCAGGGCTGGTCCTGCCCAGGACAGTCACTGCTCTGCCCCTGTGCTGTCCTACTGCCCATCCTAACCAGGCTGGCAAGCTCCAGGCATAGCTTAACTCAGCCCTGCAGGATTCAGCCCTCATGCAACCAGCTGCAAGATCCCACCCATCACCTCCTGGAGCTGGAATGATCTTCCCTAGCTCCCAGCAAATTCCAGCACAGCCGGAAATACAGGGCTCCAAAGCCATGGGGGCTAATTCAGCCTGAGGTCCCCTTCCACACAGGGTGTCCTTCAGCCTTTCCACCACAGCCCATATTCCCAGCGGGATGAAGGCCCCGGAGCAGGGGCTGCACAGATGGAGCTGCCCAAGGTTCATGGCCCCAAGGCACCCACAGGAGAAGGAAGCTCTAGGGCTTTCACAGGAGAGTACACAGGACTTCTGGGAACAGCAGTGGAAGACAGGACACAGAGAGGCTCCAAACCCAATGCTTGGCTCCAGGGTGGCAAAACACTTCATGTGCCCTCCTTCTCCCAGTCCCAGCTCACCAAAACCCACACAAAAGTGTTCAGACAGGACAGAAAGCACCAGACAACTTGAACTTGCCGCAACATGTGGCAGGTTGGAAGACCTTTGTGCATGCTCTGGAGGTGGATGTCCCTGCTGGTGGCTCCTCTTCTTGTCAGGGAGCTCCCATCCAGGGGTATCAACAACATGGAGCTGTTTTACTTATAGCAAGGAGTTGTCATGCCCTGAAGGGCTGCTAAGCAAGAGAATCACTCCTCAGGGACTTCCCGAGGAGGGGGGGTTGTTTTCTGTAAACACCAAGTGATGGAGCTGAGGTCAGTGCTCCACAGAGAAGGTCAAGTCTCAAGTGGCAGCTTTAGCGCTCTGCTTCCAATGCCGCGGGCTGGATTTTCATGGTGGTTGATTTCAGGGGGTAATACCTGCCCTTCCATGTCTTCCAGAAGATGCCCTGCTTGCGCTCGTGCCTCTGGCGGGGGATGGAGCGGAAGTACTTCCCGTTCAGGTTGGCATGGCCACAGGTGCTGAACCACCAGCCACCTACCAAGGCAAAGCAGAGGCAGATTTAATCCACAGCACTTCCAGAGAGAAAACAAACCCAAGTCCAAGGCAGCTGCTGCCCCCATTTTTCCCCCTCCTCCAGGGCTTCGGGACCTTACGAGACCACCTCATACACACTGGATGAGTCCCATGCATGGGGAAACCTCTGCATGGATCCTATATGACTTCAGGATGTGTCTGCACGTCCCTGCTGCACTTTCTTACATGCAAAACCTGCTCAAACCCTGCAGCTGCATCTCAGGCCTGGGAACCTGCCTCTGCTTTGCTGGAAAGGTTTTCAAACCAGAAGGAGCCAGCAAAGCTGTTATGAAGACAGATGCTTGGGCCAACCATGAAGACCTCCTGGTTTCAGCTTCCCTCCCAGTTCCCTGCATGGCCCCTCCCAAGGATGCAGCTTTCCCAGGGAAGGAGGGTACAAGCTGGACTCAACATCAAAGGGGTCTGATCCTGCACGGTCACTGTCCCACTCATGGCCACCACCAGACAGGGAAAGCCAAAGGGAAGGTGCGTGTCACTAGGAAGGAAGAGCTCGTACTAACCTGAGAGGTGTTTGGCACAGTTTGTGTCAGCCTTGAGGTCGTGGTCACGATCCCGAGTGGAGAAGGGCAGCTGCCTGAAGTCCCCCATGGCGTTTTCCAGCTCTCCAGACAGAGATCCCAGCAAGTTAAGTGTGTAGGCTGTGCTCTCACCACCAAGGCTAAAGACAAACTGAACCACCTGGGAATTTCCCTCCCAGTCTTCCAGCTCAATCAGGAGATCATATCTTCCCTCTTGGACAAGCTGATATATCTTCTCCAGGCCCAGCCAGAAGTCACCTGAAACAAGACACATTGCATTGGCTTCAGGGAAACAAACAGGCCATTCAAAGCAGACACATAAAAAGGCTCCAGAAATAAACAGGGACAACCCAAAACTCTGCAGCATCTGAACTGCTGTCTGGCACCTGCAGGACACGTCAGAAAGACCAGGGCTTGTGCTCTGCAATATCCCCCCTCCTCAGCCCAACACTGTGCTCCAGCACACAGAGATCTCCAGGGACCAGAAAGGGGGAATGACATGTGCTAAGAAATCACTTAACCCTCAATAAGAAGATAGACACCATCATCCACCTACCATGAAGGTCTCCAAAGCCATTCTTGTAGGCATCCCAGAGCTGGTCGAAGTCCACAGAGCCATCTGTGCGTCTCTGGATCACTGTCCAGCCACCCTCTGCAGGCAGGGAAAACATGGTCATTTGGGCTCACCACTTGCAAGACCATCATGCAAAGTGCTGTGGGACATCTCCACGGTGTTACCTGTGGTCATGTCGCAGTAGACTTTGAAGGGCTGAGACCCTGCAGGCTGCACCTGGAAAACACCACTGCTCTGCTGCCCAGCTAGGAAGAGCTGGTGGCAATCTTCTGGGAGCTCTAGGGGGGGAAGGAAACAGCCATTGAGATGACGGGCCTGAGTTCTATTTTCTCAGCAGGTTGCTCTTACCATGGCCCCAGCACTTGCAGCCCTGGCCACGAGCCTGGCCAGCTGTGTGCAGCAGAGGCCATGGCCCTGGACACGTGCTGGAGTCAATGGCCCCCAACTTCAGCATCTGTATGTGCTGTGACCCCGTATCTTTCCATCTACCCAAACACAGCTCCTTGGGCTTCTGTCCAAGGCAGAAGCCAGGCATCAGGCCAAGCTGGGGTGACCCGTTCCCATTGGACAGTTCCCATTGAGGAGAGACCTGAGGAGCTTCCCAGCTCCCTCTGTGCAGGCAGGAGCAGCCTGTCATGGGTGGGGTAACGCCAGGGCGAGCATCTCCATCCCACCCCAGGGCTGAAGCCCTCTCAAAGGGCCTCAGGGCAGAAAGCCCTGACATTGGGAAGGTGCTGGAGCGACCAGCGCTCGGCCTCTTGCTCCCAGCAACTGTGGTGATCCCAGCCAGACATCCCACTGGGCAACTGGCCACCAGCAGGCCTGGGGCCAGGCTGGGGTGACCCTTTTGCCAAGACACAGTGACTGGGTAGGGAAGGGGTGGGTGGACTGCAAGGAGCCCCAGCAGATTGCCCAGGTGAGGCCCCACAACTTGCCCCCTCCATCCAGGGCTGGCTCAGCTCCCTCCTCTCCTTCCACCCCTGTGGGGACTTTGCCCAGAGCTGCCAGCAAAGCACCATTTCAACAGCACTGACAAAAGTCCATCCAGGAGCCACCACCCGCAGCACTCAGGGAGGGATGGGCTGGGGGGGAACGGTTACAAAACCCAAGTCAAAAAGGCCACAGGAGGATGTGCAGAACTTCAGCCCCCAGCGCAGTCAAGGGGCTCTTTGTCAGCCAGGACAGGTGCCCCCGGCACCCCCAGACAAAGGGGGCCTGTTCTCCCCCATCAGGGTGGGATGGATTTTGGTGGCTCACAGCTGCTGCCAGCACAACCCCAGGACAGACGGGTGAAGAAACCTACAGACAAGGTCTGGGCTGTTCTGGGGTCCTGCCCCCCCTGCAGCCCCCTGGGGGGCCCTTGCCAGAGCTGTCCCAGGGTCAGGGGTGGCAGCAGGGAGAGGGGCCTGCCCCACAGCTGTGGGGCTTCACATGGGGCAGAAAGGGGGAAAAAGGGGACTTTGAGCTGCTGAGGGCAAGAGCAGTCCTCATCCTCACTGGGCACTCTGCTGCATCAGAGCCACAACGAGGCGAAGTGTCCATAGGGGGGACCCAGGGGACATCAGTGTGACACTGGCCATCACCTTTCACCCATTCCCCCGCAGGCCTCCCCTGTTGCACGTTTCCTTGGCATGGGGAGCTCCCTCCCCCTGCTCACAGCCAGCACAGCTGGACCCATGATCTGTGCATCCCTCACACCCCTGGGCAATGCCAGGGCAGGACTGGGGCCCCTGAGCCCACCAGTGCACCCAAGGGACAAGCATGTGGCCCCCAGGCCCCCACCCAGGCCCAGGCACTTGTGAATCAAGGGCAAGTGTTTTGCAGAAAGGACCAAAACCACACAAAGCCACCAATACTGCAGGGTGGCCAAGGGCATCCTGATATCCCCACTTCCAAAGTGAACGGAGCCAGGGGAACTAATCCAGTCTCAGGGGAAGGAAAAGCCACCACCCGAGCCCAGCTCAGAAGAGCAGCAGCAGGGACGTGCCAGGGGATGCTGGGCTTGCCCAGCCTCGTGCAGCTCCTCACTGCCTCTCCCACCACTTCCCAGCACGGGCAGGATGGTCCTGGGTGGGTGCAGAAACCAACCCCATCCCTGCATGTTTGTTTCCTGGGCCCTGGGCACACTCCCTGCACTCGGATCTCTTCTGTTTCCCTCCTGCAATGGGGACTTTCAAGCAGTGACTGAGATGCAGCTGCTTGAAGAGGCTCAGCTCGATCTTTTTGTTTGAGGAACACACTCGTTAGTTCCAGTTCATGTTGCACATCCCTACAGCACCAGCAGAACAACAAGACCTCCTGCCTGCTCTGGATGTTTTTCTTTCCCTCCCCCTTTATTTAGCCAAACAAGACAGCAGAATCAACAAGGCTGCCCCAGGCACCCCCGTATTTACCCAACAGGATCTCCAGGCATGACGGGCGGTCGCCAGCCCAGGATAAACACTCTCTCTTGCAGATGGTGGGACATGCCTGGAGCTGTCGGCTTCGCCTCCCCCTCACTCTTCCCAGTCCAACCCAATTATCCCGGAGTCCCAGTGCCACGGGGGGAGCGCGTGGGGCTCCACCTTTCCCCTACTGGGCTGGCTGCCAGGGCCCAGGCTCTGCCAAAAGACGTGATCCTCTTTCTGCAAGCGATTAAACCTTTCACTCTCCAGGCTGCTTCGAGCCTTCAACTTTCACACGCTTGGCCCTGAGCCATCTCCAGCCTGAAAAAACTTGTGTCCCTTGGATGCAAATAAAAGGGTCTTTCTGAAAGGGCGGCTGGTGGAGTCCATCAGCGTTTCCTGGAGCCCTGCTGGCACCTCAGCTCTGCCCAGCACACGGAGCCCCCAGCACATGCCTGCTCTAAAAGCAGCCACGAGCCTCCCCAGGCAGAGGCCACGAGGGCTGCCCCCCCCCAGATATTGTGTGCTTTAAGATTTGCCAGAAAACTCACTCTACTTGCTAATGAGAGGAAAGGGATTTGTTTTCTGTCAGTGATGTCAACACTAGGGGCTGAGCAAGGGAAGGGGGAGCTCACAGCTCAGCCAGGTGGAAGGAAGAGGGGGGATGCCCAGGGTGCTGGGGATGCCCAGGGCATCCCCACAGGGCTCAGTGCAGCACGAGAAGGTGTTGACTTCCTGCAGCCACTGTCTCAGTGTCCCTGGGGCTGTGGGACCTCACTGCCTGCCAGCCAGCACCATCAGCCAGCACAGAGCAGAAGACACAACCTACACCTGTCACCAGCAAGTAGAAAAGACCTGAACTTATCTCCCTGTACCCCACTTTCAGCATAACCTGAGAGTGGAGCAAGGGGATTGGACTAGTTGGTTGGACTAGATGACCTTCAAAAACCCCTTCCAACACAAACGATTTTAGGACACACTACTGAGTACTAGTCATAAAGCAGAGCTGGGGAAAAACAGGGCAGGGAGAAGTAGGTTTTGAGATAGTTTTCTGGCTCACTAGTGCAGCTCTGACCTAGGGAGACGTCACACAGCCCTGCTGTGTGCTGGCCAGCCCCACTGAGCTGAGCACCACAAAGAGCTGGAGCCCTGTGTCCCACCTCTCTCCTTATCTGCATAAATTCTGCAGCTCTTTGTTCTGCCCACCAGCCTGCAGGCACCTCAGCTCCAGCCTCCACATACAAACTACGCTGTCTTCCCATTGCGTCCAGCCCCGGGCAGGATTCCCCTGTGCATCTGCACCCTGCCTGGTTTCTGTTTGGCTCACACTGGACATCCCCAGACAGCTGCAGGGATGGAGCCAGCACTGTGGTTCAGCTGACACAACATGAGCAGCTGCTCCCAGCAGCAGACCCTGCGGGGAGGGAGGCTGCAGGACACTGTGCTGCTGGGGACACCCGCTCTGCTGACCTGTGCTCTGCAGAAGCTGCTCCAGCTCCTTTGCCAGCAGAAAGGATGCTGCAAGAAGAGTCAGGAGCTCCAGATCAGCATCCACTCACCTGCCTGCTGCACATTTTCCAGGGCTATGTGTAGCTGGTGCCTTTGCTGCCCAGGCGTTTGTTGCAGCTCAGCACCTTCCCCTAAGCATGGAATGAGCAGAGGCCCTTGTCTTTCACATATGAGCCCTAAATATGAGCCAAGGGAGATGGACACACAAGCATGCAGCTCTCCTCTCAAAGTCCAGGGCTCCCTAACTCTCCCCTCTGCCAGCAGACAGGGAAACAGACCCTGTCTGGTAAAGGCAGAGGAAGTGAACAAGAGTTAACTCCAACAAGCAGAGATCTCCCTTCTTGCTAGTGCAGCACGAGAAGGTGCTGCCCTCCTGCAGCCACTGTCTCAGTGTCCCTGGGGCTGTGGGACCTCACTGCCTGCCAGCCAGCACCATCAGCCAGCACAGAGCAGAAGACACAACCTACACCTGTCACCAGCAAGTAGAAAAGACCTGAACTTATCTCCCTGTACCCCACTTTCAGCATAACCTGAGAGTGGAGCAAGGGGATTGGACTAGTTGGTTGGACTAGATGACCTTCAAAAACCCCTTCCAACACAAACGATTTTAGGACACACTACTGAGTACTAGTCATAAAGCAGAGCTGGGGAAAAACAGGGCAGGGAGAAGTAGGTTTTGAGACAGTTTTCTGGCTCACTAGTGCAGCTCTGACCTAGGGAGACGTCACACAGCCCTGCTGTGTGCTGGCCAGCCCCACTGAGCTGAGCACCACAAAGAGCTGGAGCCCTGTGTCCCATCTCTCTCCTTATCTGCATCAATTCTGCAGCTCTTTGTTCTGCCCACCAGCCTGCAGGCACCTCAGCTCCAGCCTCCACATACAAACTACGCTGTCTTCCCATTGCGTCCAGCCCCAGGCAGGATTCCCCTGTGCATCTGCACCCTGCCTGGTTTCTGTTTGGCTCACACTGGACATCCCCAGACAGCTGCAGGGATGGAGCCAGCACTGTGGTTCAGCTGACACAACATGAGCAGCTGCTCCCAGCAGCAGACCCTGCGGGGAGGGAGGCTGCAGGACACTGTGCTGCTGGGGACACCCGCTCTGCTGACCTGTGCTCTGCAGAAGCTGCTCCAGCTCCTTTGCCAGCAGAAAGGATGCTGCAAGAAGAGTCAGGAGCTCCAGATCAGCATCCACTCACCTGCCTGCTGCACATTTTCCAGGGCTATGTGTAGCTGGTGCCTTTGCTGCCCAGGCGTTTGTTGCAGCTCAGCACCTTCCCCTAAGCATGGAATGAGCAGAGGCCCTTGTCTTTCACATATGAGCCCTAAATATGAGCCAAGGGAGATGGACACACAAGCATGCAGCTCTCCTCTCAAAGTCCAGGGCTCCCTAACTCTCCCCTCTGCCAGCAGACAGGGAAACAGACCCTGTCTGGTAAAGGCAGAGGAAGTGAACAAGAGTTAACTCCAACAAGCAGAGATCTCCCTTCTTGCTTGCATTCAACCCCCACCTGCCAATCCTCTTGAACAAATACCTGCCAGCAGCATTTCTCTGCTCCCCACTGCATTCTTAATATCAGGCAGAAAAATTCCTCTTAAATCCTTAAATTCCCGTTGGACCAATACTGATGCAGAAAGTGAGGATCCTGCCTGTGCTCCAGATCTCCCCAGTCTAGCCAAGCTCCCAAACTCTGGTTTTGCAAGAAAATCTCACATCCTGACTCAGGACAACTGAACCTTTTGTTTCCAAATGGTTGCAACTGCTGCAAGTTTGCCCCAGCGTGGAGGAGCAGGGGCCAGAGGTGATACTCACTCTGTGTCAGCATGGGCTCCCCACTAGCATTCTGGCTCTGGTTGGTGAAGCTGAGGCTTTTCTTCGGGTTTATCTTCCACTTCAGAGACTGTGTTTTGTTGTTCTTCAGGTGTAAGGGGATGAGAAGATTGACCTAAAAAAATAGGAACCAGTCAGAACGATTTTATCGCAGCTCATTTTCAAGGCTGGTACTCAGGGGAGCTGCCACAGCACCAGCCACTCCCCTGTTACCAGAGCTGGGGCTGAATTTTCCCAGAAACCTCGAGGAATAGAAGCTACCCCAGACTGACAAAGCCAGAAACTATTGTGGCTTTTCACACCCATGCTAACGAGTTTATTCTGCAGATAAACTCAAAGGAGGAGCCCAGAGAGGCTCTGTTCCTACACACCAATTCCTCCTATTGCTCTGTGCAAATACTAGGAAGTTGCAGTTTGCACCAATGCACAAGCACCAGGGCCGTGGCCTTTGCAGGGTCCCCAAAGCCAGGGAGCAGCAGCACAGCCAGCCCTGCTGTCACCAAGCACGGTGCCAGGCGGGGGCCCCCCAGCCACAGAGTGGGATGGGAGCTCACCTTGCTTTGCAGGCTTTTAATCTGCAGATTCTGCTTGTCCAGCTTGTACTGCTGCTGCTTGACCTTCTGCAAGAGCTCCTCAATTCGCAGGTTCTGTGCATCCATTAGGGACTGTGGGGGGAAGAACCAGGTGAACCCCGCAGCTCTGGGGAGACCCAACTGTGCTGCATGTAGGGATGGGAGCCGGGGGGGACAGTTCCCTGGCGGGGCTGTCCCCACTGATACTCCCAGCGCCGCTCAGCAGGTGCCCACGGACACTACCGGTGCCCCCATCACGTCCCTCCACTGCTCTCCCGAGGCCGCTCCCCGCCCGCTGCTCCCAGTGCCCCGGGAAAG